TATAAAGCTGTTGTGTTTTTGTTTAGCTTTTCCAAATATATGTTTGTGTTTTCATTTTTGCAGGTGTGCTGTATGTTCTGCTGCTTCTGTGTTTGTTTGTAATCTTGTGAAGTATATGGTCTTTCTTTTGTTTCTTTTTTCTTCTTTGCACAGCACCTTTTTAAGCATCTCCTGTAGAGCTGGTCCGGAGGCAGCATATTCTCTTAGTGATTGGATGTCTGGAAAAGATTTTAATTCTCCATCACTGATGAAGCTTAGCTTGGCTGGGTAGGAAATTCTTGGTTAAAATTGTTTATCTTTGAGAACATTAAAGATTGGGGTTCAATCCTTCTGACCTATAGTGTTTCTGCAGGTAAGCCCACAGCAATACTGATTGGTCTCCCCTGGTAGGTAGTCTAACCTATATCCCTTGCTGCCTTGAGGATTTTTTTCTTTTATACCTAACTTGTGTCAACGAATTATTCTGTGTCTAGGGGTTGGTCTTCTCATAAAATGTCTTGACATCTTATGAGATGTCTCTTGTGCTTGAATAGTCATCTCTCTGGACAGATGAGGAAAGTTTTCTTCAATGACCTCATGGAATATTTGTTCCAAGGTGTTTTCTGTTTCTCTTTCTACTTCAGATATGCCAGTCAGATGTAGGTTTGGTTTCTTGATAAAATCACACATCTCTTAGAGAGTTTCTTCTTAAGTTTTTTTTTCTATATTTTCAATAGATTGGGTTAACTCCATATTTTAGACTTGCAGCTGAATTTTTTTTCTTCTGTTTGGTCAGTTCTTCTTCCCATGCTTGTCAGCTTATTTATTTCTTGGATGGAGTTCTTTATTTCTGTTTTTTCTAAATATGCTTTCTTGAATCTGTCCAACTCTATTACAATTTCATTTCATTTTAGCCCTTGCATTTCTTGATTTTCATTCATTCTATCCAGCAATTCACTGATCTCTGTAAGTACCTTCTGGTTACCTTCATTCTTGGAGGTAGCCATTGTTTGTGCCCCAGTAGATGTTCTTTCAGGCACTGACTCTTTGCTGGGACTCTGGAGGTTTCCAGTTACTTTTTGTTGGTTTTTCTTCATTTGTACTAGTTCTCTCATCTTTCTCTTTAATTCCATTGCTTAGTGGGAAATGGGGAAGCAATCACTTCTGATATTTGCTCTCCCTCTGTCCTTCCCTGAGCCGAGGCTTCTGGTTTGTTCAGTTATAAAATAGGGCTGGGGATGGGGCGTTGTGCTATCTGTTTACAATTCTGAGCAATTACTGAGGGTGTGGGAGGGGCCGCAAGGATTCAGAACCTACTGGCAGATCACAATGCTTGCTGTTTGGTGAATGGGCCATCTGGGACTCACTCTCCATTTCCACACAATATGATCTTACAGTGGGTATGCTTGTGTAGCCTCTGAGTCTGAGACAGGGTATAAGAGGGAAAAGAGAGGGAAGAAGGAGGGGGAAAAGAGAGAGAAGAAGAGAGAGAGAAAAAAGAAAAACCAACCAACAAACAAAAAACAAACAAAATCAAAACCATAGAGAAAGACCAAAGAGAGAAATAGAAAGGAAAGAAAAGAGAAAATCAACCAATAAACAACAAAACAAAGCAAACAAATGAGACAAACAAATAAATCAAAATTTGAAAAACCCGTTGATACAGTTCTCAGCTTTAGTATATCTCTTTGCAGGGGACAAAGGAGGCTTTCTCTTATTGCAGGTTCTGTGACTTCAGGTCTAATACTGCAAGTTCCCTCTTCCTGTTGAAACTTAAGATATTAGAATCTTCACCGATTTCTGCCTGCAATTGATAGTCAGGGTGTGCCCACAGGAAGGTGGGGGGATGAGATAACTTGACTCAACATCTCTCAGGCTCTCTCCCCTTTCTTCCTCTCCCAGCATGGTCATAGCTCCCAGGGCATCCAGTTCATGACAGGAAAATGGAACCTCTGGCCTCTGCCCTGTCCTCCCAATCTCTTTCCTCGTTGCTAGGGGCGGGTATGAATCAGCAAGGCACTCACCAGCCTCCTCCATCAGATCCACTATATGCATCTATCACCCAGCAGGTGGCTCAGGGCAGGGGTAAATCTCTTGGGCTCCACATCTGCTGTTAACCACCAGGGCTTGTGCCACCAGGGCTTGTGTGCTGGGGGCAATACCTACTGCGGTCGCAAAGAACAGCCCCAATGCAATGCAGAGATCACCCTCTGGTTTCAAGCTGCAGGTCTGCTGTTCTGCAGAGACCACCCTGGAGCAGGAACATTGCTCAGTTTCTCTACAGGTTGCCATTGCTGCCAGAAATGGGATCAGGTAAAATAACTCACTCCACAGGAAGTACCACAGTCTCCAGATCTCAGGTTCCTGAGGTGGAGCCCTGCAGCCCAGCCTGGTGCTGACAGTGGCAGCAGTGAGTCCAGGCTCGGGGTGGCTCGCTGCATCCTTGGGGCTCTGTCTCTGGCTCCCTCGCCATACTCCTTCTGTGGCCCTTACTGCCAGCTTCTGGCCCGGCACCACAATAGGAGCAGCAGTCACTCGGATGGCTTCTTGCCAGGAAAAGCTCTGCTGATTTTAGAAAAATGGTGCTCAGCTTCTGCACTCCAGGAAGCACTAGGGTCCAAGGAGAATGACCGCAGCACTGTCGGCTTCACCAGGAGAGCCTTGGCTACTTGCTCTCGAGTCCCCGCTCAGTCAGCCCCTCACATGTCCACTTACATACAGACACACTTGCAGAATCGTCTATAACTCACACACACAGGGACTCACCCAGTCTAATTGGCTATGCCGCCATCTTCCCTTTGCTCTACATTCGAAGTTCTATGTTAAGCCGAAGTGCAGGGCAAGGGTAATGCTGTATCAAAGCCCCACCTCCCCATGTGCTGTCTGGAGAGATGGAGACACACTACAGACACCCACCCATTTACACTTACCAGGAGAGGGACAGCCAGCGCCCTGGGGCCCATGGCTTGTTTAGTCACACAGCCTTGTGCTGAGTATTTACCTTCTATTTGCTGTTTCCAGGGACTGCAACCAAGTGATCCCTCGGGGTCTAGCTCACTGTGGAGTCCTCTACCTGTAGGCCAGATACTGACTGGTGCAGGCATGAGAACCCATCCCAGGAGCATGGTGTGACATGAAACGAAGGAAAAACACAAGATCTTTGTGTTCAGGCAAGAGCACATTTGGGTGACAGAGTGATGGGAGAACCTGGCAGGAGAGAAGAAGGAGGGGATGCACTAGCCAGAGATGAGGAGCCAGTGAATATCCAAGGTGAGGCTGTGGAGGGGGTCAACTCAAGCTGTCCGCTGGACAACTGCTGGAAGGTTGGGGTGCCAGTCACCTGGCACAGCCCCATCCTTCAGCCTCTCAGTGGCTATTGGTACTCTTTGCTGGAGAGTGAGCAGTGGAGGAGAGGATGTCCTAAGGTGGCACCTGGTGGGGACAGTAGGCAACAGGACTAAGGAGCCCCTTTACAGAGCACGCATGTGCACCCGCATCTAGATACACACCCTTGTTGCTCTGCTCCGAGCATTTACCGTCTCCACAAGGAGTACCTCACTACTCACGTCCTGTGTCCAGGCCCTTCATAGTACGCACACTTCTGAAATGTAGGAACCATTTGCTGTGGTGGAGGTGCTCACGCTGGCCCATACTGAGCTCCTGGAGGGGCCCTGCTTTATTATTGGTAATCCCTGTCTACACCTTTGTCCGCTACAGTGCTCACATGAGGCCATGCTTTAGGGAGACCAGGCAGCACTGACCTCAGTGGCAAGACCACACACAGACTCATCACAGCTTTTAAGACGAGGTGACAAAGCCAGAACCTGGATTGAGATCCTGAAAACCCTGTCTTCCAAAGATTCTTGGGGTACCCTGTAGCCCTTCAGACAAGACTTGTGACTGATCAGAGATCATAGATGAGGTGTGGGAGATGCCCAAATAATGGAATTTGTCATTTTTCTTTTTGAGATGGAGTCTCATTCTGTCATCCAGGTTGGAGTGCAGTGGCATGATCATAGCTCACTGCAACCTTGAACTCGGGCCCACACAGTCTTCCTGCCTCAGCTTCCCAAGTAGCTGGGATTACAGGGAATTTGTAATTTGAAATAATCATAGATTCACAGGAAGTTGCTTTAAGGAATAGATTTATGTGCAAAATTTATTAAAACACTTTGAAAACAACAGGAGAACATTAATATGCTGTGAGGGGTGGTTCTCATTTCATGAATGCTGTTCATTGTTAATTTGCTTAGCAAACACTTTGGGCCAATGTCCCCAGACCAGACCAGACTGGCAAGATACTTCACTGGACAGCAGAAGAAAAGTTCAGAACTTATATTTATCTGTACATCATCCTTTTGTGATTTTTCCATCGTTTAATTTCATAATATATGTGATATAGTAGTACATGGATAAAATTTTTAAATAAACATGCAAAATTTGAGGGAACATTTTTCAGATATACTGTGTAGACTGTTGTGGTCCTGAAAAGCAGTCAGAGCTGCATCTGCAGCTGTTGTCTCCTTGGGCACCTCAGTGCCTATTAGCCTAATAGAGTGCAGACTCCTATCCCCCCTAGACCGACCACATCCAGATTTCTGTGTGGGAGAGGTCCCAAAGAGATATGGCCAGCAAACAACATAGGTCATTTTTCTTACAGCCAGGTTTTAGAAGCATTTCTAGAGAGCTCACCCACCACTCTTCCAGCTACTCTGCTTTATTTTTCTTCTTAGAATTTATCATTTCCTGACATGTTACATATTTATCTGGTTTTTCCTGTCTCCTTCATTAGAATGTAGTCTCCCTGAGAGCAGGGACTGGTTTTTCCCTAGGGCATCTGGAGGAATGCCTAATTCTGTATCTTAGTGACTGAATGAGTATGCTGATGGAAAACGTGATGCCCTCTGGTCCAGGGGCAAGAATTACCATAATCCTTCTCGGAGTAGAAGTTGGTTACATATATGTTCTGTCTCACATGATACATAAGTGCCATATGCTAATACATTTTTTTTTATTAACAGTGGTTCAGCACTGAGTCATGCTTGCTTCTGCTACGCGTTGATTTGTTCTATTCCAGTTTCTACATACATCATTTTGGTGACATCCCTGCGTTATCATTTATTTATATGGAGCGTATTTTCTCCAAAACTTCTCTATGAGGGAATGCATCTTCTCATTACAGCTGCTATCTGTGTATTCTTCACAGCCATGGATCAAACCAGACTCACAGAGACTTAAACTAATCTGGACACTAGGAAAATAATATATTTTTAAAGTCTGTTTACTCATGAATTCGAATGTGGAAAAATCTGTTTAATGCAATATCATTCAAAAAAGAAAGATATGAATTCTACAAAATTGATGAATAATTTTTTTAACTGCTGTTCCTGATTTCAGATTAAATAGTAAGTAGTTTAATGAAAGGTCACTTTAAAATACTTAGAGTTTGCATCATATTTTCCCTATTGACAGCCACTCCAGAAACTTCTGAACTTTTCATTTTCTCTGGATAAATTATGACATGACCCAAATATGTGTGTTTAAATGAACGAATGTGAATGTCGCCTCTGTCAGAGAGCACAGGAGCTCCAGGAGGTGGCACAGCTGAGACTAAGGTCTCCTCAGGGAGCTCAGGGCTCTCACAATCCTCGAGACCATGGACGGCTCCAAGGATCTTAGGTTTGTGGCATATAGATGTAACATTTTAAAGAAAAATTGCTTTATTTCCCAACAAAAATACTTTGTAAGAAGGACAACATTGTTTAACATTTTTGCAAATCTCTTTAATGTCTGGCTTAATTGAAGACAATTGGATTCTGTATTTAATCTGTTGTTATGTGTGCTTGGTTGAAGTATAAGAAGAAAAGAAACCTCACACAGGTATGTAGTTGGTACAAGGAGGAGTATTTTCATGTCATTTTTCTGGTCATTATGGAACTTCTTGATACCAACACCAGACCTGGACAAATGGTAGTTTCTTAAAGTTCAGTTGGATAAAAAGAAGAGAAATGAGTGCATGTAAAAATTGGTGAAATTCTACTGAGGATTGTACCCAAATCATTTTGCTGGTTTTGACAATGTTCTGTGGCTATGTAAGATATGGTCACTAGGGAAAGCCAAGTGAAGGGTCATGGAACCCTCTTTATTATTTTTACAACTTCTTGTGAGTCTTAAACTATTTCAAAATTAAAGTTATTTTTAAAAAAGATTAGTTGCAATGTGGAATCTGAAATTGTGTCAATGAATTTTCATGCCATGATGCAATAAAACCCCCGATCTGTCTTGCATCTAGATCTTTAACCCAGATGTGATTCTGTAAATCTGCATTATTGTTTGGCTAATAACAGTTCACTGAGTTATATAGATATTTAAATGTCAATGTAGTTCATTATTCAATACCAGAATCATTTGTTATATCGCCACCAGTCTTGTCAGAAGTCTTTAATGAGTTTGATCCTCACTGTGGCAAATACAAGTTTTCCAAAACTTTATGTGTGAAATCTCAAACTTAATGATTGCTAGCATTTTACTGAGTGTTTTCTCCTTGAATGGCCAGTCTCAGTTTGTTCCTTTCAAGGAAGTGTCTGCCAAATATCCAGATAAACATGGTGCTCTAGGACCTCTCACACCACTGCTTGTCACAGAGACACGCGTGACTAGGTGCAGCTTTACATGCACTTCGCACAGAGTGTTTAAAAGACACGTTAGCAGGCTGAGGCTAGTAAAACCAGCCATGCCACGCTAAAGCAAGAGCAGCCTTGAGGGAACCTGGCTTGTTCTTGGCTGCTACATGAGATAATGAACACCAGAACAGGTGACCTCACGTCAATTCATGCTCAGGCACCAGCAGTTCACCCACCATTGCCTTTGAAGTTCTTCAGATTCAGTAAAAGGATGTAGCCTAAGGGGAATTAGGAAATTGAACTCAAATGTTTAAAATCTCATCATCATATAACATTTAGTGAGTGCATACATACATGAGGGTCATATTCTCTATCACTATCTTTAACCCAAAGCAGTTATGTAGCTTTTCTGAATTTAAGTGAAAAGTTAAAGTGAAACCAAAGAAAATGCAGAATTTTGGATAAATGTTTCTTCATTATTATAAGCAGTATTAGTTCACAAAATATTCTTTTAAAATTGAGAAAGTAGGCCGGACACGGTGACTCACGCCTATAATCCCAGCACTTTGGGAGACCGAGATGAAAGGATTGCCTGAGCCCACGGGTTTGAGACCAGCCTGGGCAACTTGGCGAGACCTCATCGCTACACTAAATCAAAAAATTAACCAGGTGCAGTGGCGCACAACTATAGTTCCAGCTACTTGGAAGGCTGAGGTGGAAGGATCGCCTGAGCCCAGCAGGTTGAGGCTGTGGTGGCCGTGAGTGTGCCACTGCACTCCAGCCTGGGCGACAGAGTGAAACTCAACTCAAAAAAAAAAAAAAATTGAGAAAATAGATTACTTTTAAAATATTAAGAATGGAGTAATGTTGGTTTTTGAAAAGTAAACTACTCTTTCCTATTTTAGTTCTTGTCTTTTGATTCCCAGATATAAAAGATGACAAAGCTATCACACATTCTTCCTTACCCTACTTAACCGAATTTTCCATAGAATTACCATGATTTGTAACTTGTATATTTGTCCTGTAATTTACGCAATTGGTCATTTTGGACTCTAAGAAATGATTCATTGGTCACCCCTAGGCCTTTCCCCCTGCTAAATCATTTCTTTTCTTTCTTTTCTTTTTTTCAACAGATGGGGTCTCACTCTGTCACCCAGGCTGCAGTGCAGTGGCATGATCATAACTTACTGCAGCCTCTTTCCATAATTTTCATAATTTTTGAATAGGAACTTTTTTGAGGATTTCAAGATGTTGAATTCCTATATTTTTACATCTGTGTAGTGACAGTCTGGCATCTTTATGCCTTGGTATAGAATTCTTATGCAGCAGTTTCTTCCCTCAAGATGTGATAGAAATTGCTATGTTCCAGTGTTACCTGAGGTTGTGCACCATCTAAAACCAAACATTTCCTTTTATGTATAACTTGCTTTTACTGGTACTCTCTTTTTTTCTTTTCCTTCCCTCTCACATATTGAAAAGCATGCCCAATTTTGACACAAGGATACATCCGTGTAACCCGAGCCTCTCTCAACATGTAGAACATGTAGAGGAAAACTCTTCCATAAAATTTCTTCATGGCCTTTCTCAGAGACATCCACTTTTTTCTTACGTTACAGATGTTCCTCGACTTACAATGGGGTTGCATCCCAATAAACTCATCTTAAACTGAAAATATTCTAAGTCGAAACTACATTCAATACACATAAACTACCAAACATTATAACTTAGCCTATCTTACACATATTCAGAACACTTAATTAGCTTACAGTTGGGCAAAATTAAAACAGACTGTTTTATAATACAGTGTTGACAGTTGAAAAGAAAAAAATTTAAGTGTTGGTATCTCATAATTTATTAAATACTGAAAGTGGAATACAGAATGGTTGCACTGAGTACTCAAAAGTAAGGCTTCTACTGAATGTATATTGCTTTCACACCATCATAAAGTTGAAACATTTTAAGTAGGACCATAGGGACTGTCTGCGTTTTTGCCTGTTCTAGAAATTCAGTTAAGTGAATGTATACAAAATGTGTATACTGTTTTATTTCTAGCTTCTTTCACTCAGAATGGAATCTGGGGACTCATCCATGTTAAGTGAGTCTAATTCCACTACTTCTGATAGCAGAGAAAAATTCCATTGTGTGACCATACCACAATTTGTTTATTCATTATGTTTGATTATAATTTGTCTCACTGTGGGACTCTGTGTTAATCTTCTTAGAGTTCATTGAGCTTCTTGGATGTTTATATTCATGTGTTTTATTACATTTGGTACATTTTTATTCTTTCTTTTTTCCCTTTTTCTCTCCCTCTTCTCTTCCTACAACTACCACAATGTGCATGTTGGTCCGTTCGATGGTGTTTTACCTGTCTGTTGGGTTCTGTTCACTTTGTTCAATCATTTTTCTTTCTGTTTCTCAGACTTGCTAATTTCCATTGTCCTGTTTACAAGGTCACTGATTTTCTTCTGCCTGCTCAAATCTGCTTTTGAATCCCTCCTAGTAAATTTTTAATTTTAGTTGTTATACCTTTCAGCTACAGAATTTCTTTCCTTCCCTTTTTTTTTTTTTTTAGGTCTCCTGTCTCTTTATTGTTATTTCTGTTTTGTTTATATATTATTTTCTTGCTTTTCTCCACATTTTCCTTTAGTTCTGTGAGCATTCTTAAGACAGTTATTTTTAAGTTTCTAATAGACCTGCATCATCAGGGCTTTTCAGGGACTATTTCCATTTATTTATTTTTTCCTTTGACTGGGTCATACTTTTTCTTTGTCTGCTTTGTGATTTTTGTTGTTGAGAACTAGACATTTGAATCTAATAATGTAGTAATTCTGGAAATCATATTCTTTCTCTTTCCCCAGGGTTTGCCTTTTCTTGTTATTGTGTTTGGTTTATGTTTTTTTGTTTTGTATTGTTACAGGATGTGCTAAGGATCAACCTGAGGCATAAACTTAAGGTCTTGTCCGGTCTTTTCTGAATCTGTGCCTTTCCCTGGGCATCTGCCATCACTTTCTAATTTTCTCTGTATCCGAAGTTGCATTTGAATATCCTAGTCTTTACTATCTAGCTCCCAAAAGATGAAAGGGAGCAAAATGAAGGCAGGAGGGTGCTGGCCCTTTAAGTCTCATAGTTACTTCGACTGGAGGGGAGGGGCTTGCAACAATGGGAGAGGTGCAACAATGGCTGCCCACCTCTTTGTCTACACCTCTGTCATCTGAAGCTGCCAGGGGTAAATCAGAGCACAGGTTCCTGATATTTGGAAGACAGGGTGCTTTTGGCCACCCTGGCTTCTGCAAACTGTGTGCAGACTGCTCCAGGAACACATACACAGATGCCTCCCACATGTCCCAGGAGGGGTGCACAGGTAGCTGCTATTCTGCTGAGAGCTGAAATTGACTGAAATTTACTGCAGTCTATCATCCAAGCCTTCCCCTGGAAGCTGAAAGTCTTTAATCAGCTCCAGAATTCCAAAATAGTTACATTAGATAGATTCTGCCAGTGCAATAAATAGTTTTCTAGGTTGGGGAACAGATTTCTGGTGCTTCCTGTTCTGCCATCTTCACTGAATCCTTTTGCTGGTATTTGGATTGGGATTGTACTGAATTCATAGATCGAGTGGGAAAGAACTATTATCCTGACAATTCTGAGCCTCCCTATTCATGAACATGGAAGACCTTCCCATTTATTTAGATCCTCTTTGGTTTCTTTCATTCGACTTTTATAGTTTTCCTCATATAGGGCTTGTACCTATTTTGTTAGGTTTATACTCATATTCATCTTTCTAATTTGAGAGGTAGCAATTTTCTCTGTGGCCTCAATTATCTGATGAATCCAAGAAGAGACATTGATTTTCAGTCTGTGCATTTGAGAGGACAAGAGTGATGATTTCCAAGCTCCTTACATGTTGGACCAGAAACTGGAACTCTCCTGCCATTGTCTGTTTAGCTAAATTTTGCATGAATTTTTCGTGTTTGCTATGGAGATTATATTATACATCTATTGCAATTTACAACCTACTTAGAGTTAGTTAATGTACGATTTCATGTAAAATAAAGGAATCTTGGAATGATATGGTTCCATTTAACTTCTTCCCATTCATCCTTGTGCTGTTATCATATATATTTTGTCTACATTAATTAAAAAGCCATCATACAGTTTTATAACTTTTGCCTTAAACACTTATATATCATATATAATATATTATTTTGTGTTTACCATTTCTGGTGATCTTCACTTTTTCTTGAAGTTACATTGCCTTTCACTTGTTGGATGGTCTATTTGAAGCTAGGGGAGTGTAGTAACACGGGCTCAGCTCGCTGCTGCTAACAGATGGGATCTTCAGCAACAAGAGCTCAACCAGCCCTTGCAAGAGGGACCCACATCAGGCTCAGGCTTGGTCTCATATCTGCCATTGAGGCTGCCATGTTCGTGGGCCCAGCTGGCTAACACAGACAGGAAGATCCAATCTGTTCATTGATTCTGTGCCTACTCCACAGTGGGTGTTCACAGGTGGACATAAACGTGCAATGCAAAGATGTGCACCCTGGGGCCCACAACCATTGGCCCGTGTACATGCTTCTTCCTCAGTTTTCTGTCAACAATACCTACGTTGGCTACCCATCTGTGTTGCTCTGGGGAACAAGTCATGATCTAGATCCCCACAGGTCATTCCATCCTTGCTACTTTTCATGACAATGTTGTCCACCTGGCCTCTGCTAGTCCAGAATTCTGGAATCCTATTAGCCCCAGTGATACCGGGCAGCGTGTCCTGGAACCGCATCTCCTATCACCATTCCTGACCCACAGAGGACAGCAACCCCAGAGAGTCT